TAATTTATTAAAAAAAGTGGCATTAGGCCTAAATAGATGATCTTTAGTAATAGTAGCTAAACTAGTAATAATATAAGCAGCAATTTTAATAATATCAGAAAGAAAAAACATAAAAATTTATATAAATAGTAATGCTACAATAAGAAATATTAGTAAAATATTACAAAATACAAAAAATGAAAATTTGCAATTCTTTTTGTGTTATGGCTAACTGTCTTCTGTGATTGGTTGAGATAAGATACCTGTAACCTGTGTCATATCAGCATGACTAAAAGGTCTAGGCACTCATACAATATTGTATGAGGAAACACAAATTGGTACTGGGCAGTATGAACCCAAGATAAGTCCTTAGGCTGTGTAAATTAAGAGAACTAGGTAGAAAGATAGAAGCCCACTTGGAAGACCCGAGTAAAGAGGTAACCTGAACCTTTGACAGTGCTACTGTAAAGACTAGACTTATGAAATGAAGCTAGAACTTGTAAAACTAGGCAAATATGCTGGTCTTTGAGAAAGGACTGAATGAACCAACCAGGCTGCCAGAATTTCTGAGTTATGGAGGAAAAGGGCACATGCCAACAAACATGTGAACCAGAGGTGTATGATTTCGACCTACCTTTTCAGGCTATCTGAAATGGCAGCTTGGTAGAACTTAAATTGAATACCAATGTAGTAAGGATATATTGTGAAGTCAGTACTAGAGTTGGAATGAACTTTACAGAGCATAGCAGTTTAATAGTACACTCTGACTGCAAGTGTTGGTCTTGGCTATAGCAATACCAGGTCAGCTATAAGAATAAGATACAAAAGATTCTGGAAGGTTTAGTACAAGATCAAAGGTTTTCCATGTGAGTGAACTACTTTAAAGACTTAGTAATCATGGCATATTTGAACTGGTATTGACCAAGGCATCTTGGTAAGTGTAGGTAGATAGGTGGATACAAGAACAGAGTGGTTAAATAGAGAACCTACAAGCAGGTTCCAGATATGGCAGCTAGTGTAGAACCTTCGAGTGGACTACTTAGACAATGACTAAAGTTGTATGAGTGACTAGTTGTATACTCTTTCTATGGTTGCCCCTTGTAGTTGTAAAGCAACTATTAGCTAAATGTACTATCAATAAAATCCTGGGTCATAAGTACTCACCTTAATATTTAAAAAAAAAAAAACAAAATACAAAAAATGAAAAGATTTTTTTAAGTAAATATTGAATATTACAAAACTAGTTAAAAGCAAAAACATACAAATTAGAATTAACTAAGATCAAAAGTTATAACAAGAACAGATAGAATAATATAACAGATTTTTTTTATAAAAAAATAGTAAATTGCAAAAGAATAATTTATACAAAAAAGATCAAATATAATAGAATAGAGTACTAACTAGAGTAAAAAAATAAAAAAATTAATATATCTGTAAAACTTTTTTGTAAAATAGTTGTAAATACCAAAATTAAAACTAGTTAAAGAGAAATAAAATTAATTAAAATATTGAAACCAAAAACAAAATGCATACTCTACAACTGGTCAAGTTTCTAAAAAAAATAAATAAAACAAAAGAAGTATACTGTACCTTAAGAAAACTAAGTATAAGAAGAACTATAATAATTAAGTATATAATAAATAATTTATTAATATTAGTAAAATTAAACAGAAAAAGACTAAAAATATATATAATAACAGAATGTTAAGTTTGTTTAAGCAATAAAAAAGAAACTCAAACATACATAACAAGCTGTAATAAACAAAAAAACTTATAAAAACAAATACAAAAAGTATTAATAATAATAGTATAAAACAAGCTTAAAAAAAAAGAAAAAACAGAATTCTACTATAAGTATTATACAAGACATTATTTAATAAAATAGAAGAGAAAGAAATTACAAATAGAAAGATATTAATAAAAAGACTAACTATACTAAAAGTAGAAAAAACATTTAACCAACTGTTAAATAAGCAAGCAATAAAAAAATATATAAATATAGTAACAAAAACAGTATAAAATATTTTTAATAATCAAATTTGAAGAGTTTAATATAAAAAAATATAGAAATAAAAAAAAAACCAACATAACAAGTAAAATAAAGAAAGATATTTAATTAAAAAAAAAGTTAGTAAAAGAAAAAAGAAAAGACAAAATAATGAAAAAAAAGAAAAAGAAAAAAAAATAAAAAAACAAACTAAAGAAAAAAAGAAGCTTAAAAAACAATTAATATGCTTATTACAAAAAAAGAAAAACCTTTCTGATATAGCTTTAAGTAATTAAACAAGAAGTTTATTTTTAACTAAAATAGTATAACAGGTTACACTTAGGTACTATTAGAGTGACTAAATGATACTAAATTTAGATATTGAGAAATTTTATAAAATTTTATATGTATTTAGTTTCAAGAATCTTAATAAAGTACTAATATAACTGTTTAAAGTTAAAAAAAAATAGAGTAGAATAATAAAAGATTTTTATTCTATTATTTACTTATTATTTACTCTTTATTCATTTGTTTAATCTGTAATATTAGTTTTAAATAAATTATAAAAATATATAAAGAATTATTTTTAAATTTTTAACAAAATTTTTTTAAAAAATTTTATTTGGTTTTTATAGGTTAAACAAATGTATAAAAGGTAAATAACAGATAAATAATAGAATATTAATCTTTTATTATTTTACTCTATATTTGTTAAATAATAATAATATAATATAAAGTAGTATAATAACAGTATAACAGTAAAATATTGAAAGGTATATTAATGTCAAAAATATACTAATAAGATATTAGAAATAATAAAAGATTTTTATTATTTTACTTTTAATTATAAATACTAAAAATAAAATAATAGAAATGTTTTATTATTTTGTTAATATATTACTATTATGTTACTAATATACTTTCTAATATTTTACTGTTATGTTACTATTATGCTATTATTGTTTAGCAGGTATAAGGTAAAATAATAAAAATCAATATTTCATGATTTTTGTATTATTTGTCTTTTATTTATTCAAAAATAGTTTTATATTTTCACTTTTACATATAACATTATATAAATTAATTTTATTTAAATTCTGGCAAATTTAAAACAAAACTTCCAAGCATCTACTTACAGATCAAATAGTTGCAATCAAATATAAAAAATAGGTAATTATATTTCTATTACAAACATATCCACATTCTACATTGCAACACTAAATCTAAAAGGTTTGATAACCTACTTTATTTTGGGTTAAGGATAAACTAATTCTAGCTATAGGTTCCTGTAATAATTCATGTAAAACATTTTAATTAATGTAATACCAAATTGTTCAATAAAGGCCAAGGCCAGGTCTCGCTCTTAAAAAAAAAATCACCAAATTCAAAACCATACAAAACCAATTACCAAATCATAAGGGATTATGTATCAAATAGTAATGCTTTCTATAAATTAGGATGATCGGTTAGACCAATTCTTCTTACTTTATAATCCTCTGATTGAATTCGAATGATTTTGATTTGTTAGAATTACTTGTTTTTTTTAAAAAAAAACCATTTTGAAACAAAATTATTTTAGAAAGTTTCTTAGTTCACATGTAGTGTATGTAACATCATATGGTTATTATTGCCAAAATTTAATCCGTCTAATACGTATTAGAATAAGGTTAGTTTTGAAGCTTAGATAAAAACAGTTTATGCTAAAATTTTTGGATCTTTTTCGTTAGGACCAAAAGTAACTTCATCAATAAAAATTTTGAGAAGTAACAGTATCCATGTATATACGCAGTGTACAAATAGAATTCACATTATTTTAAACAGGTCAATTTATTAAAAGTTATTTAATACTAAAATTTTAAAGAAACTAATAATTCCAAAAATCAGTCCATATAATCTATATATTCATCAAGATGTACCACTGTCGGACACCCTTAGAGGCGCCTTTGATCTAAAATACTAATAAAAACTCGTCAGTCTAAGGAGACTATGACCATAAAAAATTTTTTTATTACGATAACTAAAACTAGGTTTTCGTAAAAATAATTTAAATTCGATAAATGTAGTTTATGAACTATTGTGATTATTAAAATTTACTACCGATAACCTGTCAAATCCGATAAAAAATTAATCTACCAAGTCCGTTCCCGTTATATAAATCTAATAATTTGCTAATGTTTTCAAATCCGATAACCTCTTAAAGCTGATACAAAACCTGTCCACCATGCATACCGATGCTGAGAGGGTCAACTATATATGAAATTAACTGCTGTAAAGTTTATAGATACGATAAAAAGAGGTAAAGAGGTTAAGAGTGTAAAATACTTTTCTTTATTAACACAATCCAATATATACTAGCACAAATTTGTCTCTAAAATTGTATAAGAGAATAGCCTCTTGATTAGAGAAAATGGTACACTAAAAAAAATTTGGCTAAAATTCATGCTATGCCATACCATAGGCATGCCATTGGCATACTATTAATATAATTATAGAATATACTCACTTTTGATTGGTTAAATTTCGTGTGATTCGAGTTGTGACTCGGAATTTTTCGGATTTCTCGGAATCTTCTATTCAATTATCCTTTTCTATATAAGTGACATGCATTACCGATTATTTAGATTTTGGCATAACACTGGCATGTCCGAATGGCATGGCTGTGACTTTGTGCCATTTACCCTACTCTTGATTCATTATTAATAACAATTATGGCTGAAATTTTAAAATTTTGTATATATTAAATTTTTTTTAGATTTATCTTGGAACCCCAAATTTTGACATAGAGTGACATAAGGTTATCTGTTACTGCAATTATTTTCTTTTTAAACTTTTATTTATAATAATGGATCAATCATAATTGTCTTGTTTTGTACAAAAGAATAATATTTCATATCATCTATTAGAGGAATACAAAGTGAGAGTAAATAATATTCCAATAGGTAGATAATAAAAAAAAATCATAAAAAAAACGAAACAATTAACGCAATGCTTTATACTTTCAGTGTTAATTAAATTCATGATTCACTTGACATGATTAATCATTATTGGAAGCTAAGTCATCCTCGAAGACTGCATATTCATTGGAATCTAAATAATCAGTGGGAGCTGAATAACCTAACCCCAACTCTGGATATTGTAAAGGAGTCTTTTTTAAAATCGGTGGGAGCTTTTCAACATCTAACGGAATAGATGGTCCAATCCAAGCACTTCGAGACGTATGATCCTTAACTTGCTCTTTGGTCAATGGATGAATGAGTATAGAAAGATCTCCACGATGAAGAAGGAACCACGAGTAAACTCGTGAAAAGTGTTCTTTTGGACACCAAACTTCATATGACCCTATATGAAAGTAAAATTATTCAATATAAATTCTAATATAAATCTTGTGATAAATGTAATGGAAACTGTGAATACCCTTTTATTAAAAAAAAAAAAAAAAATTAAAATATCAGATATCTAGAGAATAAGACGAATAGATTTGTTTGCCAAATTGGATCATAACTTACTATCGTGTGAGGACCCATAGGTTGGTAATTAACTCTATGAAAAGGAACAGGATGAAAGAACCCTTTCTTGGTTAATTCGAGTATCTTTTCACGTAATGCAATTGCGGCTTCACAATCTTTTTTATTATTCTAAATAACATTATTAGTATAAATGTTTAATATTTTAGATGTGTAATCTATGAATATCATCGTTGCTTACCTGAAAGAAATATACATGGAAATGATATTCCTTAATTTCTTCAAGTTCTTCCTCTAATGGCTCCCTTTTCGTTGCCACATCGTTAGAATCATTGTCTTTTATCAACATTATGATTAACGCAATGTAAATGAAAAAGTATAAGATGTGTGAGAAAATAATTATGCGTTATTGGTATTGTGTGTAATTTATAGTTTCTGCAATTTAGGAAATCTACACCAATTTAGCCGATGATATCAGTGGTTGGTTACATCATCGGAATTTTATTTATACAGTAACCTTGTTGATTAACTCAAGTATAATGATACAAAATAATGATATGCAATAACGTTAATAACATTTGGTACTACACTGGCATTACTTTCTAGAAATTTAGGTTGACTTACGCTATTCATATGATTTAAGTTTTAAAATTTCCTTTAAGTATGAATTAGGGATGTAAAATTACAATATTCGGTACAGGTTTTGCATACCAAGTTTGTACAAACTGACAGTCAAATTTATACAAACTGACAATAAATTGACAGTCAAATTTGTACATAACACTTATAATTAAATTGCAATATCTCATGACCTAGTAATTTAAATTATGTAAATTTGGTACCATTTGATTCATCTTATTTCGACGAATCAAATGGTACCAAATTTACATAATTTAAATTACTAGGTCATGAGATATTGCGATTTAATTATAAGTGCTATGTACGAATTTGACTGTCAAATTTGACTGTCAGTTTGTACAAACTTTGTATGAGCTTCACCAAGATCAGTTACATACGAAGGTATCAAATAATATGATTGATATCGATTGATATATTTTATTTTGATATTTGTTTAAATTATTCATCTGAGAAAAAGAAAACCGATCGTTTTTATGTATCTAAGTATTAGATCGTTGTTTGTTTCCAATTTATTTGAAGCTAATAAAAGGACTGTATAAAACGCTTAAATCGGGTAAATGAAAGCGAAAGTGAGAAAAGTAATATCCATAAAAACAAATTGGGAGATGAACTTTGAAGGTCCATATATTTACGTAGATGATAATACTATGTAATTGTTTGATATAAATTTATGTAATTGTAAAGTTACTTAACAATTTATACAAATTTATGTTGTTCTTTGTGTAATATTGCCAAAGGTTTGTAGAATGCATAAAATATTCGTAAAAAATTACGTAGTTTTTTTACCTACAGTAGTACCGTACAGCGCTGCATATAGTACCCTCTTGAAGTAGTATCCCTTTTGAATAGTATCGGGTACTATTCAATTGTAAATTCTAACATTTTTGAAAAGTATCCCGATACTAATCAAGTAACCGAATTAATGATCCTGTCATGTGATCAACTCGTATTATTAAATATTTCTTTTTCATATACCCTCCTAGTATAGTACCCCTCTTCACACAGTATCTCCGGGAGTATTATTTGATTTCTTGTAAAAGACCATGATGTTGTCTTAAAACCCACCAGGCTGCTGCGATTAAGCAATGGAATCGATAGGTTTATTTAATAAATTATATCGTTGTAAATAATTAATACGACAAAAAGTTTAAAATACTTTAAATTGCTAACATTCTTTGAGCATTAATCATTTTGCCAACACGCATGGAATCTGAATGAGATGTATATGTTATTGTCCACGTAAGTGGGCAATAACTGTTTTATTCACCGGTTCTTATTTATACTTCTATACTATTTTTTCTCACTTATCCACATCATCTAAGTCTTTCACGCAAGTAATTATACTTACAGATTTTCTATAAACTTGGTCAGTAGTTTCGGGTCAAAATCTGTGTTGATAGAGTAGTTTTGTGTAAATTCGACATGTAATCGTAACTTTGAAAGATGACTAAAAAATGCTAGTTGAAGTTACAATGCGGTCATTAACGGTGAAATTAATGCTGACCAAAAATTTTGTAATGAAAGGTTTCAAAACTAGAAAAAATTCACATTTTACAAAATAAATAGGAGTTTTCAAATGGTGATGGTATTTTTTACTATGTTGAATTATATTTCGAAAAATAAAATAAGATTTTCTCTATTGGTACTTTACTTATCACATGAGAAAATTACACAGAATCTAATTTACCGAAAATTGCGTAAAATTGTATTGCTTAAATCAATGTAGTGAAATAATGAAATTTGCTATTGTTACGGTCTAATACAATCTGATACAAATGTAAACTTTATTCGATGAGGCAATTCGCCAGAGGCGTAACAACAGTGATTTGAATTATAAGTTACAATTGATTATAAGCGAAAGATGCAGGGAGACTTTATTTCGTATGTACTTTTTAATGATAGGAATTAATGTTTTATACCCGAGAGTTATATATCAGCAAGGAGATATCAACCCCCCTTTTATATTAATAAAACAGGGCTTTTCCTTATCACTACTCTTACTATATTCCTTATTCACTTTGTCTATCCTGTTAATCCTTTTTACTTCTTATTCAAGTTTCTCTCTACCTTAATTCTTTCTTGAACCTTCTTCCACTTGCTCCAATAGTCACTATCACTAGAACTTTCTCTCGACGATCTCTAAGCCTTGTAGATCGTACGCGTAATTAACTTTCTCGAAATATCTTTATGATCGGCAACCGGGATTCAAGATCGGCTATGATATAATCGATGGTCCGATTTCGGAAATACCACTTTAGCTCGTGACACTATAATTATCACATGAGGGTGAAATCCGCTTTTATATTATAAAAAACGTGGACTTCACCCTAACCCAATCAGCGGATTTCACTATTTCGCAACTCAGGTTTCACCCTGTTCTATTGAAATTAGGCTTTAACCATATAAAATTTATATACATTTGTTTTATTAACAGTTAATCAATTTTTTTTAAAAAAAAATAATGCCAAAACATTCAACTCTAATGAAGAGCAATACACGAATGCATTCTGACATCCAAATAAATTTATATATCGATATGATGCCAGCCCTTTCCTAACCTTAAATATAACTCTAACCTTAACATAAGCGAACTCTAGAGAATTTTGCACATCACGTGATCGAAAAATTTTGGTGGTGATGCTGCAAAACATAAATTTTTATACTCCTACACATACTTTTTGATACATCAAACACCCTAAAATTTCTATACTTTTTACTAACTTTCATTATAATAACGTGCGATTTTATTGGCTAGCTTTAGGGTACGTTTAGATGTATCAAAAATGTATCGAAAATGTATGGTTTGCGGAAATTTAATTATCCGCCAAATAATGTACAATTATTGGATATTACACATCCACTAACTATATATTATTCTGATTATTATGACAAATATGAAATAGAAAGATCAATTTTGCTTTATTTCTCATTTCTCAGAACTATTTATACATATTCAAAAATAGAAAAGATGAAAAGAATAAAAAGTCAAATAAAAAATGAAAAGTATAAAGAGGGTAAAAGATATGAAAGGGATGATAAAATATTAAAAGGTAATGTTTAACAGAATAAGTTTAATAACATTAAAAATATTAAAGGATAATGATTTAAATAGTTTACTAACATTAAAAATATTAAAAGATAATGACTATCATTATTTTTTTATGATATTAATATTAATTAATACGATACGATCGTCCGCCTAGGCCTTTAATCATAAAAAAAAAAAGAGAAAAGTCACAAGCACAGCAAGAAACGTTAAATTTTATACCCATTCATAATCAAACATTTGAATATTAATTATTCTTGAGATCTTTTCTTATAAATTACTTCTGAGATTGTGAGAGCCTATCAGCAATCATTTTCGAGGGCGCTGGTGCCACAAAATCACGACGATGGAACTCGCGAGCGAAAATATTTTTCTTAGCTGATTTCGCAGAGTTATCAATGCTACGACGAGCAGCAGTACCTCCGAAAGAATATACCATCGTTATGTAATAGTCTACATTGTTTGGATTTAAGACAGCGATGCAATAACGATCTCTTGGAAGGTTGTAATTGTGATATCCTACAAAACGACAAATTGTAGTGCTAGATCCACAGTAGTCGACAGTACCATTAGAAGAATAAGGGAATAAGACGTATTCAAATCCATGGAGATCGGCAACAGAAGTAACATTCCCTAACTCGTAACCGCCTACTTGAGGCACAGTAGGGGCTCCGCTAAGCGAATATACCAACGAGTGATCTAAAGAAGTAACATAAATAAATCAGCTCATGGTTAATAATTTTTGAATTATGAGTTGTCAGAGTCCAATCATTACTTGATTCACTCACCTAAATATGTAATCGAATACTCAGTGCATGCCGACCAAATGCCATGATTTTTGGGAGCCAAAACCATAACAGTCGTGAAGAGGTCACTAAATGCAGAATAGATCTATAATTATTTTTTAAAAAATGAAATCAAATTATTATTTGTCCAAACAGAATTATTTTTTAACGTTACATGATAAGCATCAACGAAAAAAGTTCGCTGTCTAAGAAAGATTACAGTTTTTTTTTTAGAGCTCATCATAGCAGAACGTCATGTGACTAATGCTTTGAGGCCATTTTGTTAATTCTTTATATTACCTGCAACAAGAACAGAAATCCGATAAAAAGCAAGGTTTTCATATCGTTATCTACCGTTATTCGAATAATGTATTAATTCAAGTTATAACAGTATGAAGTAATCCCCCAACAAAGAGCTAAGTTGGATGATTAAGGTGAGCAAGGAGAAATTACGCGCGACTTATATATCAAAAAAAAGGTGATAATTGCCATTATCAATTATTGTCATTAGGTTATGATTACTAATGAAAAATCTTTGTAGGAAATTTGTAAAAGCCTTGTGAGTTTATATCGAAGCACATTTAAAAACAAATTACGCGTATATTTTGAAAAATAACATTTCATTGGTTTAAGAAAATATTTATCATCCGGCTGCTCCGTTGTGTCAACGAAAACAGTTACGATTAACCAAAAATAGAGTCAAATCATTGAGGACGGATTTCATATTGTGTCATAATTTATTTAGCATAAGCATGTACAGTGCTAGAAAAAGTAAATCGAATGATGCTGGGGTCTCGATTTTACTTAACCCTAATCCCAACCCAACTTTTAAAAAAAAACTAATAACAAATTCTATTAAAATAAGTTCAAAATTTAGCATCATCTTTAACAATTAATAATAAATTTAAGACCGAAAAATAAATATCAGTTGGTGAATGAAGTAAACTCACGTGATAAATAATAAATGTAGTATACCGGAATAAATTCCAAATCAACTCAAGTGTTTATAGCTCAGAATAAACATTATTATCATTTATGGTAACCATTAATTTGTTGCAAATGTTATGTATAATTATAAATATTTGTATCAATCAATACGTTAATGAGTCTAAAACGAAGAAACCATTTTATTCATTAAATTAAATTTAACTAATGACAGGAAAAGATAGTCCGATTTAGCAATGGTTTTAAAAAATTCCTTTATATATCTAAGAAAATATGAAAAAATCGTCAAATGTAGTGGCTATAAACAAAATAAATCTTGTAACAGTAAAAAAAAAAAACACAAAAATCTTTTAAATTTGAGGGATGTTTAGATCTTAAGATAATTTCCGGACTTTTCATTAGTTAAATTACAAATGAATTAACTGTAAACTATACAGTATCTTGTAGGTATATATGCATATACACACTCTCTGGAATAAATTGACATAAAAATGCGATGTTATCAGCTAATAAACGAGATCGTGCACAAGCACCATAATTAATTAATTTTGCTCGAAATGCGGATCTTAAATTTTACAACTCTGATAAAAAAGATGGTCTAGACCACTGTTGGTACGGGACAGTTTTGGACATGGTTTGGACATTTGTGGATATTTTTTGGACAAATAAATAAATTAAAATTACTAAAAATTTTATTAAGTTAATCTATTTAACTTCTAAATAAAAATATTCAGCACTATAAAAAATATTTAATTATATATTTTTTTAAAAATTTATATATTAATTATTGGAGCTTGTATATGCTGTGGACATTCTTAGACATGTGGACGTTTGGACATTGGACATGGTCTAAAAAAGTCTTGGATATAGTAGACGTGACAACACTGGTCTAGACCATCTTTTTTGCGATGACAAGCTTCCTTGATCGTCCAAATTATGTTTCGTTAATTAAAAATTGTGCACCGATCTATAATTTAGTGTTTGAGAGCACCTTTAATTAAACTGATACATAGTTACATTTTTGATATACTCACGAACGTTTTGAAAAAATCGGAATTTGTCTGTGTTAGGTTACACGTATATAATAGATATAATAGCACATAGTATTACGCGTATATAGTAAAAGTTTATATCATGCTTAAAATGTGAGTATCATAAAACATAACCAGTAAAAGAAAAATAATTACGGCATTAAATTTCAAAAGCGCACAATAGTTTTTTAAGAGAGAACTTTCGATTAAGAACTTTCTCTTTTGTGTTATAAACAAGATGAAAAAATGACCCGATGCATTGTTACACGAGATTTAATTTATATCCATTACTTTTTCCTAATTTATTGTTTTGCATCATTTGTGTTCTTGAGATTATTATTCTAGTTATGACGTGTGCTATGCCTCATTAAAGCCCGCTAAATTTGTCTTTTCATGGAAGCAACCATTTTGCTGATGTATGTCTGTTGGAGATATTGTAAACGTTTGAATATTAATGTACCAGTAAAAAAACATTCTGGCTAACCCATCCACACGACACTTTTAAAATACTCTACTGCTATATGTCATCAGGTACTTATTTCTACTGATATACGTCATCAGGTACTTATTTCGCAATGTGTGCCAGGTTTGTGGCGCAGATTTTCTAAACTACAAATCAGATTTCAAGATCAGGTACCATCAAGAAAACGTTCATTTTGTCAAAAATTGCATAAGAAATCACCTTTAAAGCTCTGATAAGAAGCTTTCGTCGGGCAATTTACTATATAAACTACATCCCTCTGATTCCCAATCCTGATCCTAAATGAGCTTTAAAGAATTTTTGTTGCGCCACAAACTTGGCTCATATTGAATAATTGCCTTATCTTATTGGTATACGTCATCATTTACTCCTTTTCAAGGTTTTTTTGAAAATTTTTTTTAAGGTTCAATTGTGGCAATTATTCTTTGTCAGTTAATTTTTTCTATCAATTAATCCGGGATCACCCGGCAGAGATCTGGCTTCCCGACATTATCCGATATAACTGATAGAAAAAAATTCGACTGCCAACCCAATTTTCTGAACCCATTTATAAAAAGCGGAAAATTAACATTGTGTGAACTTAGATATAAACGTGAATCTTTCAATTTACTGTATATTAAAAAAAGTCCGACCGGGGATTTTGAAATTCATGTAATGCAAAACGAAAAATCAACTGTGTGACCTAATGTTAGAAACTTATTCTAATTAAATGAAAATTTAAGTATCGAAAGTTTTCTGTCATTCTTTTTATTTAAAATAAAGAGAAGAAGGATTTTCAAACAAATCACATAAAAAGTGTATAGTCACAACTCTCTAAGTGCACTACCCTCAGGACCATAGTGAAAAAATTTTAAAATTTGCATTTAGAAAGAGTATGTATTTATAGAGAGTAAAATATACAGATCTCTTATAGGCTGAAGCCAGACTATATTGTGTTGTAGAGAGGTTTACATAGTCTACGTATTTATAAAGTGTACATTTATAGAATTGTGACTGTAATGTGAATGGCAGAGGATAATCAATTATATCCTGTGCTAATTTCTAGATATTGAATACATGTTTAATTCAATTTCAAAGATATATATTTAATTCATTTTCGAAGATATTCCATATTTAACTTAATTTCTAGATATTAATTATGTGCTTAATTTAATTTAAAAAATATTGCACATTAATGTTGGTCCCAATGATAGTCGTCACATTGCCGTAAATTGTCGTAACTATAGTAAGTAATATAGTAAGTTACGGCTATAATGCTCATAGCAGAAGTTCGTCTGGTTGGCTAATAAATTCAATTTAATTTTACACTATTTATACAGTTTAGAGCACTTTTTTTAAAAAAAGAAAACTAACCATAATAAAATAAAAAAAAACAATATAGAAGGTTTCATTAGAGCTGAGGACTCTATAGTCAAAATTAAGCTCTAATTCTCGTCTGTTTAAAAAAATTAGCTTAGTAATAAGTTGATTTTATCGGGTTTTTGACGAGAATTAGATATTATTTTTGGCTATGGAGTCCTACATCTCTAATGAAACCTTCTATATGTTTTTTTTTTTACTTTATTTTGGTTGGTTTTCGTTTTTTTAAAAAGTACTCTAAACTGCATAAATAATGTAAAATTAAATTGAATTTATTAGTCAATCAGACTTCTACTTATGACTATAATGCCGTTACTTACTAAATTACTATAGTTACGACAAGTTACAGCAATGTGACGACTATAATTGGGACGATTCTACTGCATCACTATTGCACATTTAATTTATAATTTCGCATATTAATTTTGGTACATATTTGACTTTAATTTTTCTAATTTCAAAAATATACTTTACATATTAATTTCACTACATATCTTATTTAATTTGGAAGATGCTAATGATTAATTTAGATCAATTATAAAGATATATTACTGAAGAGATACTTATCGTAATTTATAAAGATATATTGACGAAAAGATACTTATCAAATTTGTCATATCTAATATGCTGTAATATTGATCTTAATGAAACGTGACTTTTAATAAATATTTACTACCTTTTAACCAATTAGAATTAGCCGACAAACAAAAATAAAAATATAATAGATAATCATAGGATTAAGGTCAAGGCTTTATTAAGTCAATTTATATTTGTCATTAAGTAAAGTTGGGATAACAAAATTGATATATCCTAAAATTTTCATGCAAATTGAATACTTTTAATTATTCACTTTCGCATTTTACGTTTACATGAAAGTAAAATGAGAACATGAATTAATATACCCTGAATAACTTTACTTAAGGCATAAACATTAATTATTGTGAAACTCTTATGATCTTATTGTTATTTTTTGTACGTTATTACGTAAGCACAACAATCCCAAATTAAAACTCAATCAGCACGATAACATCGATATTGGATCATGCGATGATATTAATCGTTGCATGACCAATATCTTATACTTAATTTAGTAAAATTTCGACCTTAATACGTATATGGCTACGAACATCGATTAGGAAAGTAATAGAGTTCGATGATTTTATATGCCAATGACTTAAATGACCTGGTCATTATTTGATGACCTGGAGTCATTTGAATTTCGATCAAATGACCAGGTCGTTTACCATCCTTGATGCAAGGTATATTACTTTATCACAGTTGTGATCTCACAAACCATACTCACATGTTTGCTATAACGTATTATATACCACTTCGTTACTAAATAATACACCACAATTATTCGTACTACCAATCACTATTAGTTAGATGTCTGATTTTGAATAAAATCAGTAACGTATTTGTTTCGAAATGAACGATCCTTAGATTCTATTTTTAGTGTTATAATATATTATTAAAAAAATATTCTTATTTCATTATCTGATTTCGGAATTTTAAAACAAAAATAGGAATTTTAAACTTTCACTTATTTTGGAATTAAGTTAATTTTGAATCACTCATTTTTACTATATTGAATTATAAATCGGAAAATAAAATAAGATTTTTTACACATCACATGAGAAAATTACACGAAATTCAATTTACAGAACTATTTATACATATGAGTGCTGCCAAGGGAAAACCTGTCATCGGACATTCAATTGTGTTACGTGTCGTCGGATACGTATCATTTCATTGACGATCACACCCTATCACACAGCGTAATGAGTAATATTAAACAATAATTATTAATCATCAAACAATCGTTAAATATTAACCATCGCTCTATGCGATGGGGTGTTCGGCGAAGCGATTGTCGATGAAATGATACGTATCCTTAGTCGTCTGTAGAAAATCTGGCAGCACTCATATGCAAAGATATCAAAATATGAAAAGAAGAAAAGGTAAGAAAACCCGTTAAAAGATAATGTTTACAATCATTAGAATATTAAAAGATGATTTAAATGGTTTACTAATATTATTTTTTATGATATTAATATTTATGAATATAGTACGATAAAATTGTCCACCTAGGCATAAATAAATAAAAGTCACAAACACAGCAAGAAAGACCAATTTTTATACCCATACATAATCAAACGTTTGGATATTAATTATTCTTGAGATTTTTTCTTATAATTACTTCTGATATTGTGAGAGCCTATCAGCAATCTTATCGTGGGGTATTTTCGTACTAAAATCGCGAGCGGAATGGTTTTCTTAGGCAAGTCTGCAGATTTATCGATGCTACGACAAGTACTGGAGCCAAAAGCATTTGTTCCGGAACCTCCGAAAGAATATACTATCACTATGTAATAGTCTACATCGTTTGGATTTACGACAATGAAGCAATAACGATCTCTTGGAAGATTGTAATTGTGATATCCTACAAAACGACAAACAGTAGAGCTAGATCCACAGTAGTCGACAGTACCATTCGAGGAATAAGAGAAAATTATATATTCAAATACATGGAATTCAGCAGTGGAAGTAACATTCCCAACGAAGTTTGTGCCTACATGAGGTACGGTAGAGGTCCCACTAGGCGAATACACCAAGGAGAAATCTAAAGAAGTAACATAAATAAATCGATAAATAACAAATTATTTGATTCTAGACTCTTCAGTTCATGACTAATAATTTTTGTATTATGAGTTGCCAGAGTCCAATCACTACTTGATTCAACATTTCACTCACCTACATATGTAATCGAATTCTCAGTGTATGCACCCCAAACTTCATTATTTTTGGGAACAAAACCCATAATTGTCGTGAAGAGGTCACTAAAAGCAGAATAGATCCGTAATTATTTTAAAATTAAATCGAATTATTATTCGTTTAACGGAATTATTTTTTTTTTAACGGCCCCAGAGCCACGTGTAATATAATAAGCGTCACTGAAAAAAAGTTCGCTATCCAATGAAGATTACAGTTTTTTTAGAGCTCATAATAGCGATGTGTAACTTGATGAATGCTTTGAGGCCATTTTGTTAATCATTTATATTACTTGCAACAAGAACAGAAACCTGATAAAAGGCAAGTTGTTCACTACCGTTATTCGAATAATATACTAATTGGGTCAGTCCGTAAGGTTATGAGTATTCGGGTAAAATCCCTTAAATTGAAATATCGATGTTCAATCAATTTCAATAATTACAGATATTAAAATTTTTGAACGGGAATTGTAATAAATCGTTATATGAAGTTATGTGACAAGACTTGCACTAAAGGTAGAGCATCTGCTCAAGAATATGACCCAATGAATTATCGAAGTTTGATTAAAAGAGCCCGAATACTCATAACGGTACGGACTGACCAATTCAAGATTATAACAGTATGCCGCTAATCCCAACAAAGAGCAAAGTTGATGATTGAGATAAGAGACACGACTTATATATCAGGAAAAAGTGATAATTGTTATTATCACTTATTGTTATTAGGTTATGGTTACTAATGAAAACCTTTATAGGAAATTGTGAATTTATATTGAAGCACATCTTAAAACCAGATTACGCGTATATCTGAAAAATAACTTTTCAACTCATTGATTCAAGAAAGTGTTTGTCATCTGGTTGCTCTGCTAGTGTACAGTGGGTTCAGAAAGTATAGAACGATTACACAAAAAAAAAACGTAAGCTAAGCACAGTACGTATTATGTTTTTATGTAACAGTTTTATTCTTTCCGAACCCACTGTATATGTAATTAAAAATAGTGTCAGATCATTGAAAACAGATTTCACGTTGTGTCATAATTATTCAGCATAAGCAAGTACAGTGCTGGAAAAAGTATTAATCATTTTATTTTTTTTATTTCTAACCCAACTTTAAAAAATTTAATAACAAACCCAACTAAAATAAGTTAAAAATTTAGCATCACCTCCGACAATTAATAATAAATTTGAGGACCAAAAATTAATTATCAGTTGGTGAATGAAGTCAACTCAGTACCGGAATAACACTCGGTGTAATTACAAATTAGGTTTGTAACGTGTAAAGCATATCGATATATTGATATACATTATTTGGCAATCCTAAATTTGTTATCCTTAATTTGTAAATGTTATACGTATATCGATATAATTATGATATAAGTGCTGCAGAGCAAAAATCTGGAACTGATCAGAGTAAATCATTATGATCAATTCCAGGTTTTTGCTCTACAGCACTCATATATAATTATATCGATCAATACGTTAATGAACCTAAAAAAGAAAAAACCATTTTGTTCACTAAATTAAGATAGGAAAAGATAATTCCAATTTATTTTCTTATTGAGTGTTAACAAATGGCTTTAAACGATTTTTTTATATAGTATATCTGCGTAAATATTATGAAAAATCGCCAAATTTGATAGATGTTATAAACAAAATAAATCTTCATAATTGTAAACAAACAAAAACCTTTTAAATTTGAATTATCAACTCCGAATGATTATACAGTAAAAATCAATTCATTGAAATTGATGTTTAGATCTTAAAATAACTTCTGCAAATTGAATTAACTAGAAATTATACAGTATATTTATGCATATACGCACACTCTAATAAATTGACATGAAAATACTCTTAATTAAATCGATACATAGTTACATTTTTGATTCATATACTTACGTACGTTTTTGAAAAAACCGGAAATTTGTCTATTTACATTGCACTTATGTAGTAAATATATTAGTACATAGTATTACACGTATCTAAAAGTTCATATCGTGTCTAACATGGAAGTATCATAAAACATAGCCGGTAAAAGAAAAATAATTACACAATAGTTTTTTTGAAGAAGAACCTTCGGTTAAGAACTTTCTCTTTTGTGTTATAAACAAGATGAAAAAAAATCACCCTCGATGCATTGTTACATACCGGGTGTTTGATAAGTTCCTGGACAGGACCTTTTTTTAATCATTAAATAAATAAAAAAAAACGCAATGATTAGTAATCGTTATATAATAAAAAACTAATACTAGTCCAAACACCCGGTAGATTTAATTTATATCTGTGTTGGTAATTTTATGTAATTTTAATTTTCGGTATGATTTTCAGACCCCCTAAATGAGATTTACTTATTTGTGCCGATAATACAATTCCAAACAAGGAAGTTTGATTTTGTAAATAAGCAAAGTGTGTAAAAAAACACAAATTTAAGTTATAACGTTGACATTAGAAGTTATAGCCATGTTCGGAATTCATGTCGGGCCGATCCGGAACGATCAAAATTTGAACTCACTGATTGGCTATTTTCTTTTTAGTTTGCCCCTAAATGCACTAAATGCACCCTCCCTAAATGCAGCATCCCCTAAATGCATAATAAAGCCCTTCATACATGCATCCACGTGATTAATAGCCGATCAAATTTATTATTTACAGTGATGATAATAATCATACTCTAATTGTAACCCTTCCTAAATGTACGCTCTAGAGCTGGTCCCGACGACGTGCATTTAGGGAGGTCTGACTGACCGTAGTTACAATAATTACACATGTAATTATCTTCAGTAACTGCTGTGCTTTTTAAAATATATAAAGCAACTTCAATATCAAAGGAATTATTCGAACTTGTAATTGCAACATTTACTTCTAATTCGTTCAATTTTCAATAAAATTATAACCTATTTAATGATTAATTCCTTGAAAAATAAAATTTAACAATGTCAGAATTACCACATGGTAAAGCAGACCAAGAAGAACGTGAACAAGCTTCCACATCAGAATCGTCGATTAAAGTAGCATCAAATGAAGTGTCTCAAGAATCAACTGAAATACCAGTAAGACCTCAGGAGCCTCACGATAATAGTATTAGTCAGTCATCATCATCTAAAGCAAAAAGATCTAAAGTTATATGTTGTGGGCCTAGTCCAAATGGAATCACAGTATTCGTTGAATTAATTTGTTTAACAATTACCTTGATATGGATTCATAAATATAATGAAATAATTTTACCCATTGAAAGTGTATTTATACACAGCATACCATACATTGTCACTTATGTAATATCATATTCAATTGCGGATATATTAAATGCCATCTTTAATTGGTTCATTAGTAAGAAGATAAAAGATACTGATCAATATCATGATTTGATGGTGGCAGCTGCAAATAGTCAAGTACTTGGATTTTTTACAATAATTCAAAGAATAATGTTAATTTGGAAATATCGTATAAATAAGTGTTTGGCTTTTATTATGATTTTTGGTCTTATTGCTGCCTTGACTCTATTACTCAGTAATATTACATTCGCAATAAGCACTACCCCACAAATTCCAGGCTTAATGCCAATCTATAGCAATAGTCTTAATATTGATCCTTTAACACCGTGTGGTGTTGGAGATGCATCATGCCCAGCTCTGTTACAAGATAGATTTAGGTTTATGTGGCTTCAGGGTGCTTCAGATGTACTACTAAATGGAATTACTAAACAATTATCTGTGAACTGGGGAGATGATCCGGGAGGTGAAAGGAAAGTAATGGTGGCAGTAGTAGATAACGATACCAGTATAAACTATAAATTTGTAAAAGATAATAAGAAATCGGTTCCAGTTTTTAGTTTTTCTACTATATGTAATATTAGCACACCTCCAAATTTTCCAGGTTTTCGCACACCATATCACAATTTAACTATGACAGACCGAATAAACTTAACGTTGGCTGTAGAGATGGATTCATGGCTAGAGAATCGATGGATTGCGGAAGTAATTAATCTTCAGCAAGATGACTTAAATGAAACAACAATTATGACTGTTAATCTTGTTAAAATATTATCTCTTAACTCAAAATGTGAAGGGATTAGTATTAATACTGTAAAATCTAAATTGTGCTATCCAGAAATAGCCAAAAATATAACCTGTTATATGAATACGCATGTTGAGAACGTTGAATCTGTATCAGCCGGGTGTAAAGATGACTGTCCTGTAATTGGATTTAGATTTACTAATTCAGCTAGAGTTAATTATTCAAGTCCAAAGCCTGTATATGGCGATTATATGCATAAATCACTTGCTATATATGGTGGCAATATATTAATACCTCAGTGTATAGATAATCTAGTTGGGTGTGTGAATTACAATGAAAATAACGTAAGTCAGGTGAAGGATAGATTTGTAGAATTGATGTATGGAATTACTGCTTCTGGAGTCATGGCCAGACGAAGTTTGTTATCAAATAATGGGACAATAGTAAATGTTCAATCTGTAGTTAAAGGAAAAGCAGGTGTTATATTAAAATTTGAAGAAGGTTATTATTATACAGTTGTCGGACTTGTTGTACTATGCATTGTTGCATATGGTTTGTGGTATTTGCATTGTATACATTTCAAATTAGAATGGGATACGTGCGGATGTGAATATAATTTCAATCATAAAGATCAAATAACGAATTATTGGTTATTGAATAGGGAAAACGACGATATCAGTATTTTTTATAATTTTTTAATTAACGTTATTATTAACCTAATTATATTGGTTATTTACAGCCTTATTTGTTACTTATTGTATCATTTTAGTTACTACAAAATAAAGCATGATGAAGCTATCAGTTCCTAGGGTTAATCATTAGAAGTAACATACTATTAGTTTTGCCAGAAAGATTTAATTAAGGGGAAATAGAGATATTGAGGTTTGAGAGATAAGCTCATTGAATTATTCGCGTTTACTATTTATTATTTTATACACTACCAATCGGTGAGTGGCGCAAGGCGCTGTCTATCTTATTCTTTTATTTTTACTGGTTAATTATTTTGATAATAAATTACACAGAAAATTCAGGCATAATTGCATAAGTACTGCTTTAATGTGAATCAATCCGACATTTATTATAATACTTACGAATTGAATAACTTGTCTTAAAACCGTCGCACTTATGTAATAAATATATAGTACATAGTATTACACGTATCTAGTAAAAGTTCATATCATGTCTAAAATGGAAGTATCATAAAACATAGCCGGTAAAAGAAAAAATAATTATGACAATAAATTAGAAAGGCACATAATAATTTTCTAAGAGAGAGCTTTCATTTAAGAACTTTCTCTTCAGTGTTATAAACAAGATGAAAAAATCACCCTTATACACGGTCCCTTTTATTTAAGTGACTTTATCCAATTATATACCGGTGTTTGATAAGTCCCTAAACAGAACCTTTTTTCTATCTCCGCTAATATTAAAAGCTAAATGTTATATTAGTACCGTATATAACAGGTGGGACCCACACACGCTGTGATCAATTAAAATAGAATTATTTAGATATAATCCCACCAGTTTTAATATATATGTAACATTAACGGTCCTCCTGTGACCGTATATATAGATTTATAAAAACCTTTAATATTAGCGGATATAGCAAAAAAGATTCTGTTTAAGGTCTTATCAAACATCCGGTATATCATGACCTCTATATACAGTATAAAGTTACTTTAAAAAGGTCCGTTTATAGGAACTTTTGTATAAGTATCAAGAATGTAATTTATACAGTATGTAGATCGTATATTGAATTACCTCCGCTTTAACATATAAGTCTAGCATAGGTAATACCTACGCAGTAGAGTATGTTGATTCACTTAAATAGCATATTAAAATTTATTTACTAATCGTTAGTGATGGATCAGTCCCAAATCGGTTCTGTCGGTCCTAAGCAGATTGCAAGATTTTGAAATCATCTTTTTTTCGCGAGCCACTAATTAAAGTTATTTATACCAAATTTTTAATAGTACTTACCTATTGAGAAATAATGGCAGACCTACTCAAATAAGTAGGGTTGTATCAGTTTTAAATCGGTTCCAAGACCAGTTCTAACCCTTACATTTTGGAAGATTTTGAATTTTTGAGAAGCTTTGCCACTTTTTTTTCAATAAATAAGTACAATTAAAATTTTGTTTAAAATAAC